CCTGGTTCAGACAATTCTCCTGCCTAAGCCTCCCAAGTAGCTGAGATTACAGGCACGCGTCACCATGCCCAGCTAATTTTTGTCATTTTTAGTAGAGATGGGGTTTCACCATATTGGCCAGGCTGGTCTTGAACTCCTGACCTCAAGCAACCCGCCTGCCTCAACCTTCCAAAGTTCTGGAGTTATAGGCATGAGCCGCAGTGCCCAGCTAATTATTTACAATTTTTTTTTTTTTGAAAACAGTCTTGTTCTGTCACCCAAGCTGAAGCACAGTGGTGCGATCTCAGCTCACTACAACCCTGCAACCTCCACCTTCCGAGTTCAACTGATTCTCCTGCCTCAGCCTCCCTAGTAGCTAGGACCAGAGGCATGTGCCACCACACCTGGCCAATTTTTTATGTTTTTTCTTAGTAGAGATGGGGTTTCCCCTTGTTCCCCAGGTTGGTCTCGAACTCCTGACCTCAAGTGATCCACCCATCTCAGGCTCCTAAAGTGCTGGGGTATAGGCGTGATCCACGGCTCCCAGCCTTATTTACATTTCTGAAATAACTCAAATTGAGCGCTTTTTTCCCTCGTGCAGTCTCACTGCTGCTGCTGTTTTTTTTTTTTTTTAACTGCCTGTTCCTGTCCTTTGCCTGTTTTTCTGTTGGGTTATATATCTCCTAATGACTTAAAGCAAATTAGCCATTTATTTGTTAGCGGTTGCAAATATTTTTCTCTAGACTGTCATTTGCCTTTTGACCTTGTTTATGATTCTGAAGTCTTGAGTTTGTTTTGTTTTTTGTTTGTTTGTTTTTGAGATGGAGTTTTGCTCTTTTTGCCCAGGCTGGAGTGCAATGGCGTATTCTTGGCTCACTGCAACCTCCGCCTCCTGGGTTGAAGCAATTCCCCTACCTCAGCCTCCCAGGTAGCTGGGATTATAGGCATGTGCCACCATGCCCAGGTGGCACATACCTATAATTTTTCATATTTTTAGTTGAGATGGGATTTCACCATCTGAATAGATGGTAGGCATCAATTAAATACTAAGTAGAGTTCAATGTTTGTTTTTCTTGTAAGGTAAAATTTACTTACAGTGGAATGCACATATCTTGAGTGAGCGCTACGTGAGTTTTAACAATTGCCTGCATCTCTGAACTGAAAGGTTTACCATCCCTCCAGAAAGTTCTTTCATACTTCCTTTCAGTCACAGCTCCCTTCCGCCCACATTGCCCACGAAGCAACATACGCAATTTTTTTTTTTTTTTTGGGGGGACGGAGCCTCACTCTGTCACCAGGCTGGGGTGTAGTGGCATGATCTCAGCTCACTGTATCATCCGCCTCCTGGGTTCAAGCGATTCTTCTGCCTCAGCCTCCCGGGTAGCTGGAACTACAGGCACGTGCCACCACACCTGGCTAATTTTTTGTATTTTTAGTAGAGGTGGGGTTTCACCATGTTAGCTAGGATAGTCTCCATCTCCTGACCTCATGATGTACCTGCCTTGGCCTCCCAAAGGGCTGGGATTATAGGCGTGAGCCACTGCACTTGGCCTATAGATTAGTTTTGTATCTCCTAGAACTTCTTATGAACAGAGCATATACTCTTTTGATGATGTTTCTTTCGCTCTGCATGTTTTTTAGATTTATCCACATCTTGTGTCTCATTTGCCCGGTTATGTGAATATATGACAGTTGTTGATCTAGTCTCTTACTGAGAGATATCTGGGCTCTTTCCAGTTTAGCTATTATGAACAAAGCTACCGTCCAGTGGTGCGATCTCATCTCACTGCAACCTCTGCCTCCTGGGTTCAAGAGATTCTCCTGCTTCAGCCTCCCAAGTAGCTGGGAATATAGGCACACACCGCCATGCCTGGTAGTAGAGATGAGGTTTCACCATGTTGGCCAGGCTGGTCTCAAACTGCTGACCTCAGGTGATCCAGCCACCTCAGTCTCCCAAAGTACTGGGATTCCAGGTGTGAGCTCCTGCTCCCGGCCCGTAGCATAACTCCTGCAGATAGTCTGAGTTTTTTTCCTACTTCCTCACTCTCTTTCACATGTCAGCCATTCTTTGTGCACATCTTCTTCAAAATATGTCAAGATCTCGAGATAAGCTACTCGTTCCCAGACTCGGGGGACGTGTCTTGTTTCCTCCTCCCCTGCAGTGCTGGACACAGTTGCTTTCCTGCCGGTCTTCAGACACCCTCTTCTTTTGGGTTCCGTCTCATACATAGTCCTGACTTCTCTCTTCCTCAGTCTCCTTTGCTGACCTTGGACAGTTTCAGTGCCACACAGGGCCCTGGGCCCACATCTCTTTGGCCTCCTCTCCGTGATGGCACCATCCTGTTTCCACTGTATACTTGCGGTGGTCTCTCCTGGTAGGATGTGGCTGTTTGTGTTGCATGAGTGAAGTAAATAAGTTTCACCAAGCAAAGCAGTAAGAATCTGTTCTTTGAAAAAACATAAAAATACAGTTGATTCTCGTTATTCACAGAGTCTGTAAATCTCTGGGACCCTGGCTTAGCGAATCGTGAAGCATTGCACCCCAGGGGAAAGATGGGAGGTCGCCTCTGGTCACAGCATTTTCATCAGCTGATCAAGAGAGAACCCCAGAGCCCAAATACAATTTAAAAAAAAATTGTATGAAGATCAACCTTAAAAAAAAAAAAAAACACTTGGTTTTCTGTGTGCTCCCCTGCCTCAAGACGTGCTGATACAACGCAGATTGCTGGGTCACTAACATAGAACTCACAGCTTGCATGGAACTCTCGTCAGCAGAACTCCTCTCGCATGCATGTTTTCTCCGCAGGGCACATCACAGGCTGCTTGTGCTTAGGGACACTCAGTGACGCTCCACACTGTGCCAGGGCCAACAGCGAAATCACCAAAAAGCACAAAAGTACGAAAAGCAGGCACTCAATAACCCTCAGTAGACCACGAAAAGGACAGTTGTTTTAAGTATGAGAATTGACACGAGAGGACAGGACATCACCCTGTGTGACCTCAACCAGGAACATGTGCATCATGTGACAAATCTTGAGGCGGTGGCTCACGCTTGTCATCCCAGCAGTCTGGGAGGCCAAGGTGGGCGGACTACCTGAGGTCAGGAGTTTGAGACCACCCTGACCAACATGGCAAAACCCTGTCTCTACTAAAAATACAAAAATTAGCCAGGCATGGTGGCATGCACCTGTAGCCCCAGTTACTTGGGAGGCTGAGGCAGGAGAATCTATTGAACCCAGAAGGCGAAGGTTGCAGTGAACTGAGATCACACCACTGCACTCCAGTCTGCACAATAAGAGCGAAACTCCATCTCAAAAAAAGAAAAAAAATTTCCCACTTTGCACGTGTCCACGGACAGCTGTAAAAGTACCATGAGGGTTGATGTGGGGTCACAAATAAACCTTACCAAGCAGGCAAGTACACAGAACAGAGCCTGTGAGTGATGAGGAGAGAACCTATTTGGAAGTAAGTTCTTTTTTTGTAGAGATGGGATCTCACTATGTTGCCCAGGCTGGTCTCAAATTCCTGGCCTCAAGCAATCCTCCCACCTTGGCCTCCCAGAGTGCTGAGATTATAGGCATGAGCCACCGCATCTGGCCCAACCCTCTTTTTCACCCACTGTCTAGCAATCAGGGTTCTGTCATGACTTGGTATCCATGTCGATTTCCTGAAGGAAAGAGAGGACGATCCGAGAACATGAGGGTCTGACCTTTAGGGAAATTATATTTTACTGCCAATAATTGACATATTCCGGGTTATGCACCGTCTCTTCTGAGTTGGGTTGGCCTCGTGTCTGAGTGCTGCTACATGCCAGGTGCTAGAAGTGCATCGTTGACAGACATGGACTCCTGCCTCCACACAGGAGCATGATCACCACCCACCCCCACACACTCGCATGACAGATCCTGGAAGGCGGTGGGTGGCCCCTAGTCTGGTATGGTGCTGGGCAGAGAAGCTGCAGACAGAATCTGTCCTCCCTGCGCGCGTGCACGCTCCCTCTCCCCCATTTGTGCAGACGCTTGCCTTTGTTCTTTTTGAATAAAGGTCACTTGCTGTTGTCAGAAAGAAGGTTTATAGCAACTATCTAGTAAAAGCAACTGAGAAGAAACTGGCCACTGAAAAGAGCTTAGAATGATGCGCTTGAGGTGACTGCTGCTCCATTCAAAGTGGCATCGTGCTGCGTTGGTGTGTGAGCCAGCGAGGGGCTGTGTGTGCCGTGGTGGTCCTGTGAGAGGACCAGGCCGTGTTCTTGCTGCGGCTTTCCCATGTTTTGTTTAGACACACAGGTACTTAGAACTGTGCTGCGGCTGGCCACAGTATTCACTCCCACATGCCGAGCAGGTCTGTCGTCAGGAGCTACAGGCCGCACTATGTAGCCTAGGGGCCTAGTAGGTCTACCATCGAGCTTTGTGTAAGCACAACAGGATTGCCTACTGGACATTTCTTAGACTGTATGGCAGTGTTTTGTGAACATGAGTGCAGTAGCAACATCTTTTTAAAAAATAAGTATGTGTCATGCCACTTTGGACATGTGTGATTCTTTGGCCAGCCCTGGTATGCGGGCACGTAGGCTAGCACTCAGCACATGAGTCTATGGCACCCAGAGGAAGTGACTGCAGTTTCCTAGGAGTTTGTGTCTTAATGAAGGGGTCCCTAGACCTTATTCTTTCACTTTACCTAGCAGTTTGTTTGGTTCCTAAACTCAGGTGTGTTTTTAGGTCACACCGTTCAAATCCAGCAACAGAACTGATTGAAAGGAACCTTTGTCTTTCGTGTGAATGCTCATGTAGGGCCGTCCTTATTCACAGTGGAAGCACTCCCCAGGCTCCAGCGAATCAGGACCCTCAGACACCCTGGGCTGTTCGCCTCCCCCCAACCGCACGACCACACCTTCTGCAGGTGCCCCCCAGCGCTGTGTTCTACATGTTGTCCAGGCCTGTGTTTATTTCCCAGCGCAGATTCTGCCTGTGCCCGTGGCCATGTGTAGATGTTTATGCACGTACTTCCCTTTGTGATTTCAGCCGACACGGAAGATGTATGCATTGTAGAGAGATTGTTCTCTAGCAGCTTAGTGGCCATCGTGAGCCTTAAAGCACCAAGGAAGCTAAAGGTGTGCCACTTTAAGAAGGGAACTGAGATCTGCAACTACAGCTACTCTAACACGATTCTGGCTGTGAAGCTCAACAGGCAGGTGAGCACCCAGCCGGGTGTGGGCGTGTCTGCTGCTCCCTCTAGCCTCTGGAACAAGCCCACCCCACCGGCAAGTCCGTCCACCATTACTTGACTGCCTGGCCCCACGTTACTGGGCACAGATCCTTGCCACCAGCAACCAGTTCTGTTTTCTCATCCCACCAGCTTTGCTCAGCCCATTCCATTCACAGCGAATGCCCAGGCCTCTGCCACACTGTTCCCATACAGGCGTCCCTGGCCCTATCCACAGGGTGGACAGCAGAGTCTCTTTCACTTATTGCCTGGTTTTGCTTCTTGAATGTTACTTAAAATTTTTAGACTTTTTTTTCCTTTTGTAAATTGTTAATTTAACTTGGAATTCAAGATAAAGGATCTATTTTCTGTATCTCCCCTAAACAAATAAGAAGGTCTGGCTTGGAGGAAGGATGCGGTGGGTGGCACATGCCTGCGTTTCGTGGGGCTGCCTCCCAGCCTGTGTTCGAGCCCAGTGTAATGGCATCACCCGGAAGACCCCTCACAGGCTATTTCTGACCACATTCCCTGCAGGGAAAGCTGATGAAGCAGCTAGCTGCCTCCAGAGTATACATTGTGACAGCCAACAGCTACACTCTGAGATACGGTGACTAGATGCAGTAATCACAATAGAGACCCTCTTACCTCACACAGTTGAGACTGGGAATTGGTCTGTTAATTGACAAAGTTGGTTAGAATGGGAAAGTATAAGACATAATACCTTGAGCACTTAAAAAAAATTTTGTTTTTTTGAGACAGTCTCATTTTTTGTCATTTAGGCTGGAGTACGGTGGTGCAATCTCAGCTCACTGCAACCTCCGCCTCCCAGGTTCAAGCCATTCTCCTGCCTCAGCCTCCTGAGTAGCTGGGACTACAGGCACACGCCACCACACCGGGCTAATTTTTGTATTTTTAGTAGAGACAGGATTTCACCATATTGGCCAGGCTGGTCTCAATCTCCTGACCTTGTGATCCATCCACCTCAGCCTCCCAAAGTGCTGGGATTACAGGCATGAGCCACTGTGCCCAGCCTGAGCATGTACAAATTTTAAAGCATACAAATTCTGTTCATACCCACCTGACGTAGAGCCGGGTGCATGGCATAAATCATCACAGCAATGCATCATCTTCAAGTCTATATTCATTTTCTTCCAAATGAAGCAAGAACTTGCAAACTAATCTGAGTGCAGAATAAATGTTAGACCTTTTAAAACCCCCAGGCTCTTATTTTCACTTTACCCGCGCCACAGTCAGCATCAGTTTTAAAAAGCAAATCTTTCCAAATCTATTCACAGCACAGTTGTCTTAGCTATAGGCTAGTGTTTGCCTAACACTGAATTAAATGGCCTTTTTAGAATTCCCAGTACAGCTGGGTATCGAGGGAGAGGTGCACCCGCCCGGCTCCCCCTTGATTGTTGGTGGAAAGCAGCTGTATCCTCAGTGCTTCGAACATTGGTCTGCATGGTGTTCTAGAAGGAACTAAGATTGTGAGGCCAACATGGGGATGGGTCACCTGAGGTCAAGAGTTCAAAACCAGCCTGATCAACATGGTGAGACCCCATCTGTACTAATATAAACATTAGCCAGGCGTGGTGGCGGCCACCTGTAATCCCAGCTACTCGGGAGGCTGAGGCAGGAGAATCGCTTGAACCCGTGAGGCAGAGGTTGCGGTGAGCCGAGATCGCACCACTTGATTCCATTCCAAAATAAACATAAAAATAGAAGGAACTGAGAGCATCGTAGTCCAGGAGTCAGTCCAGTGAAGATTGGGGCGTGTGTTGCACCGGCTGTTGCTTCACATTTGGTTTCATTTCGTCTCTCACCTAGAGGCTGATAGTATGCCTGGAAGAGTCCCTGTACATCCACAACATTCGGGACATGAAGGTACTGCACACGATCAGGGAGACGCCTCCAAACCCTGCAGGTGAGCTCACTCGTGAGGAGAGAATCCTGTTTTTCTGATTTTGCCTTTGAAAGATAGCTATAGGTGAGAGAGATTTTTTCTCTTTATAGGTTCTGCAGATGAGACAGACTTAAAAAGTATTGATCCCAAACCAGGCTGCCTTCCTACCACATTAACTCATTGGTTTGATCAGCTTTCAAGTTTGAGGTTACTGATCAGTTCAAACCAAAGGCCTTTAATCTCTTTACAATACTGGTATCACCTCAGATGGGGATTTGGGGTCATGGAACCTTTTTTTAACAAAGCAAACAAGATCATATCCAAGTTATTATCATTTGTTCCTAAAACTTTGTTAAATAAATGCTGAATTATGTCTGACATCTGAGAAGGAGCTCTCAGATGTGAGTTTGCATATCGTCCTCCGGGTGTCATTTGCAGGCCTGTGTGCGCTGTCAATCAACAATGACAACTGCTACTTGGCGTACCCAGGGAGCGCAACCATCGGAGAGGTGCAGGTCTTCGATACCATTAATTTGGTGAGATGCCTTTCCTACTCGAATAGCTCTTTCAAGTGTAGCTTTTTCCTGCGGATGAGTGCTGTGGCGTCTCTGGCATCCAGACTTTCTTGGCTCAGCAATACAACTGCTGTACTTTTTTTTTTTTTTTTTTGAGACAGGGTCTCACTTTGTTGCTCAGGCTGGAGTGCAGTGGTGCAGTCCTAGCTCACTGCAGCCTTAACCTCCCAGGCTCAAGTGATCCCCCTGTCTCAGCCTCCCAAGTAGCTACAGTCATGCACCCCCACACTCAGCTCATTTTTCACTTTGGTAGAGACGGAGTCTTGCTGTGTTGCCCAGGCTGGCCTCAAACCATCCTCCCGCCTCAGCCTCCTGAAGTGCTGGGGTGACAGGCGGGTGCCCCCACACCTGGCCCTGCTACTCCTCTCACTGGCGGAGCAGGTCTGGCTCATTCTGCTTCTGGATCTGCTGCAGCATTCACACCAGTGCTGAGCTCCTTGCCATAGGAATGTTTTCAGGAACGTAGAAACCCTTAGGGGTAAACTGCTTTGTTTTTTCTAAAGTTGGAGCAGTGTTTCCTTGGATTCTCGGCCCCAGTAAATCAGTGGGTTTGGCATTTGTATAGACGGTGTTTTAGGAACGGTTAACTGGCATCTTTAGACTGCATGCCAAGTGCCAGCCCTGAGGTGTGTGCTGTCCCTGCCCAGAGGTCACATTTTGTTGGTCTCCCTTTTTCAGAGAGCTGCAAACATGATTCCGGCTCATGACAGTCCTTTAGCAGCGTTGGCTTTTGACGCTAGTGGAACTAAGCTTGCCACAGCTTCGGAGAAGGTGAGTCTGTTTTACCCTGGGGAGCCGTGGTATGAAGGCTTCCACAGACTCTCCCAGTTCTGTTCACATAGCCAATTCAGAAGCAAGGTCCTATACGACCGGCTCCAGGAGAAGCAGAGACAGGCTCCCGCTTTTCAGACCGTAGCCATGTGCTGCCTGAGAGTGAGCGGAGCTTGCACCGTGCCCCTGTGGACAGGAGAGCTGGTACACGTTTGTAGTTGAAAATGCAGAAATGTCCAGAGACGGAAACGCTGTGTATAACTGTGCCACTCGCCCTGTGTGTTTCTAAATGATGAAACTAACATGTTATGGGGAAGAACCCAGACAATAATGAAACGTAAAAATGCCAAGACAGAATTCTCTCCAGCCAATCTGAATACATTTCTGTGTATTTCCTTTCATTTTCTCTTTATTCAACAGAATTGAGATCCCACTATGGGTGTAATTTATCCTTTTTCACTCTGCGTGACGACATTTTTCTAAGCTGAAAATACTTGTAATGGCTGTGCAGCATTCAGTTGTGATTTATGTTGACATCACCCTTCTGGGACACTATGTTTCAAACGTGTTGATGCCATAGATAGTCGTGTATTTAAGTCATGTATCAATCTTTTATATGTATTTCTAACTATTAAGAGATTCCAGTAAGAAGAATGTCTGGCTTTAAAGGACATGGCCTCTAAATGTCCCCGTGTACCTGTGACCAAGTGGCGAGGCTCCCTCAGCCTCCAGGACACTGAAGGGACCTTGTTCTCTTCCTGACTTGGACTGTTGCCTCTTTTTTCTTTTTGGTTCCTCTTCTTGAAAGTTCCATCTTTCCTTCTTCTGTCTTGAGGTCGCGTCTGCTGTCCCGCCTCCATCATCTCCTCTGGATGCCAGTCCTGCTCTTCATTGCCCACAGATGGCTGTTACTTTGATGTGGATTTGATTTTGCTTCTCATTGAAATCCTCAAATAGCCTCCCCTTTCAAGTCTTCTCTCCCCTCAAACTATCGAGCAGATGAGATACAATAAAAAGCCCGCTCACTTCCTTAGCTTTCTTGCCTGGGTCTTTGTTCTTGAATCTTACACCTGAGTTCTGTAATAATGATGTCACCGTTTATGGGTCACTTCTGTGTCATGCATTATCCTGGATCTTTTATCTTCATTACCTCATTTGTTTCCCCTCAGCGAGGTAAACATTTTTGCATTTCATAGCAAGGGTTCAGAGAGGTTAAGCAGTGTGTCCGGGATGCCCAGCCAGGCAGCAACAGAGGGGTCAGACACCAAGCCTGACTTTGATTCTGATTGTGCTAGACTATCCCAATATCACCATGTCCTTTTCATTTCCCTTTGAAATGGCCCTGAAATTCTGTTACTCCTTGACTAATCAAAGTCTCACTGTTATATTTTTCAGTAGTTCTTACAAAGGCCCAAAGGTACTTGGTGGAACTTTAAGGCCCATAAAAATAGAATATTTTTTGGACTATGAAGAGCAAACATGAACGGATCCTCCTAGTCTCTGGAGTGAGAGCATCAGGACCTTCCTAGCCCTGCTCCGTCCCCAGGTGCCAAGGCCCCACTGAGGCCTGTGATCTAACCCTGCTTTCAAGAATCTTGCGGTCATGTGGCAACAAAATAACTTTTTTTTTTTTTTTCTTTATTTTTTTGTTTTTGTGATGGAGTTTCACTCCGTTGCCAGGCTGGAGTGCAGTGGCACAATCCCAGCTCACTGCAACCTCCACCTCCCAGGTTCAAGCAATTCTCCTGCCTCAGCTTCCTGAGTAGCTGGGACTATAGGCAAACGCCACCACACCCAGCTAATTTTTGTATTTTTCAGTAGAGACGGGGTTTCACCGTGTTGGCTGGGATGGTCTTGATCTCTTGGCCTTGTGATCTGCCCACCTCGGCCTCCCAAAGTGCTGGAATTACAGGTGTGAGCCACCACGCCCGGCCAACAAAACAACTCTTAATTAGTTATATTTCCATATTGCACAGTAGATAGGCCACCAAAAAAATTATCTCCATCTAAGAGTTGAGGCTACAGAGGACAAAACCTTTGCTTTGGTTATTTTTATATGTGGATGCAGAACATATTTGATCCTCGAATTCTCAGTGTTATATTCAGTTTGTGCCCCTCCATCCAGAAAGAACCAGCCATCCTCAAGTGCCAATTTTGTTTTTTAAACCATGTTTTGCTTGCTCTTTCACCCAGGCTGGAGTACAGTGGCACAGTCTCTGCCCCCTGCAGCCTCTACTCCCAGGCTCAAGTGAATCTCCTGCCTCAGCCTCCCAAGTAGCTGGGACTACAAGTGCCTGCCACCATGCCTGGCTAATTTTTGTATTTTTAGTAGAGATGGGGTTTCACCATGTTGGCCAGGCTGGTCTTAAACTCCTGACTTCATGATCCACCCGCCTCAGCCTCCCAAAGTACTGGGATTACAGGTGTGAGCCAGCGCACCTGGCCACATTTTACTGTCTATAAGCACGGCAGATCGTGCAGTGGCGTGATCACAGCTCATTGCTGCCTCCTCTCCTGGGACAACAGGAGTACACCATCAACCTTTGCTCGCTAATTTTTTGTTTTATATAGAGACGGGATCTCACTATGTTGCCCAGGCTGGTCTTGAACTCCTGGGCTCTAGTGTTTCTGCCAGCTTGGCCTCCCCAAGTTCTGGGATTACAGACATGAGTTATTGCATTTGGCCTAATATTCTTTTTTTTTTTTTTTTTTTTTTTTTGGACTGTTTCACTCTGTAGCCCAAGCTGGAGTATATTAGCGTGATCTTGGCTCACTGCAACCTCCACCTCTGGGGCTCAAGCGATTCTCATGCCTCAGCCTCCCAAATAGCTGGGACTACAGGCACGTGCCACCATGCCCAGCTAATTTTTTTTTGTATTTTGGTAGAGACGGGGTTTCACTATGTTGCCCAGGGTGGTCTGAAACTCCTGAGCTCAGGACATCTGCCTGTCTCGGCCTCCCATAGGTCTAGATGTGCTTAACAGTTTTTATATTTAACAGTTCAAACCTTCTAAAATTTGCAGAGGGTGAATGTTGAATAGTTCTTCCCGCCCCGCAGATTTGAAATGCTGCCCATTTGATGGCCTGTCTTTCTGTCAGTCTCTTTTCACACTAATTTAATACCATTAAAACCATCACCTGATAGTTTTCTTTTAATATTCACGCACTGAAAATCCTGCTCGTGATTTTCTTGGCGCTTCTCTCATTTATTCCCCCAGATGTTCGCATCTGTCTCATCATCTACAGATCTGATATCACCTTAGTTGGGGAAGCTGGCATCTTCAAGAACTTTCCATTAAAACAGGGACATGCTGAGCTCCCACGTATTCCTAGTTCTTTGTCTTAGTAAGATTTTCTTTCTTTTTTTTTTTTTAAGACGGGGTTTCACCGTGTTGGTCAGGCTGGTCTTGAACTCCTGACCTCAGGTGATTCGCCTGCCTCAGCTTCTGAAAGCGCTAGGATTACAGGCGTGAGCCACTGCGCCCGGCCGTAAGATTTTCTTCATGTGCATCTTACCATTTCATGAGTTGGGATTTACTCTTACCAGATACTTGAGCTTTGCAGCTAATCAGTTCTCTTGGTCAGTAACTGAATTGACAGCAGCAGGAAAGGACCTCAGTGGGGTCTGAAACCTTGTCAGACCACAGGGGCTTGCCAGTGTGCCACACACAAGTCCAGGCTTTTATTTTTAATAGTTTAAACTTCAAATGACTCAGAACACTAGAACGATGATAGGCCACTTTTGCCCTCGAGGCTGTTAGTGTTGAGAGTCGGTAGTCAGTTAAAATAGACTTAAAGAGAAGATTGAACAGTAAGACCAAAATAGAACAGGGGAGTGTTTTCCTATGCTCATGGCAAAAAGTGTGGAGGTGATACTCATGGGGGGCCCTGGAGGACCCCAAACTCCCTGGTGGTCCAGCACAGAGCTGTCCTGGAGGTAGCCATGTGGTACATTTGCAGTCTGCTGTGAAAGATCAGAAAATCCTGTTTTAACTCAACTAAAATTCTTTCTTCTTTTCTCTTTCTCTTCCACAGGGGACCGTGATTAGGGTATTTTCCATTCCAGAGGGACAAAAACTCTTTGAGTTTCGGAGAGGAGTGAAGAGGTAAAGTATGTGAACGTCAAGCATGGATTCTGGAGGTTGTATTTGGATTTCAGTTTTACATTATCTGTGAACAAACAGCCCAGGAGAATTCCACACGAGCATTTTTAGCCCAGCTGGGTCACTAGTTGAGGTCTAAGACTTGATCTTGTCATGGGTTCAAGAGCACTTTGAGGAAAGCAAACTGGGTTTGGTCTGCAGTCCCACCAGCTCGTGTGAGAGTTGTGAGGAGCTTGCAGAACCAGGCAGGCCCAGTGCCCTGTGGCTCCCAGTGGGTAGCATGCCCCTCCTTCAAAGGCTACCCTCTGAGAACCTGTTCCCAGCTCTCCAGTTCTGCTTTCACCCGCAGCAAACGGTGTTGGCCCCTTCTTTGAAGAAACCCAGATGCCTCAGCCTGGCGTTCCCTTGCGTTCCTCCATCCAGGCTGCAGAGTCTCCCTCATCTGTGATTAGCACGCCCTCTGTGGCTCCTGCTTCCGAGGCAGGATCATCCCTCCCTCATCGGACAGCAGAGCAGGGGAGGCTTTGGATCAGACCCCTGGGGGCCACTTGCCACCACGTGGCCTTGGTCGGCGGGACCTGACCCCCAAGTCTCTGGCTTATTTCAGATCAGTACCTCCCTCCCTGAGGGTGGCCACTGAAAGAGGTGGAGCTGTCTTTCAGGGACCCTCCTGCCATCTGGTCCCTCATTCCTCATGGGATCCCCATAGGTGCAACAGGTGAACCTCAGTGTCCCCAAACGTCACCGCTCCTCCAGCTCCTACCTCATCATGTCCCTTGGTCTTCCTCACAGCATACCTTTCTGGGTTTTTCCTGTGTTGCTGCTTCTGCTCAGTTCCCCTCCTGTGCCTGTTTCTGGCTGGAGCCGCTCCTCACCCAGCCCCCTGCCCCACCCCCATGGGCTATATGTGCCAATCCTGGGGCTAGATGCGGTAGCCCAGCTTCCTGAGGTGCCGTGTTCCTCCTCCCTGCTGGGTGCTGGGCACCTCAAGCCACCAGGCCAGTGTGACCCCAGCAACCCCTCATCCCTCACCCTCCCCATCTTGGTAAATAGTGCCACCCACCAGCACCCTGGCAGCCAAGCCAGAGGGGCTCGGCCCTGTGTCCTTCTGCCAGAACAGTGCATCCAGGGAGCTTCCTGCTGTGTGCTGGCCCTGTGCCACGTCAACCACCCCACCAAACCAGGCTTTGGCTGGTTTCTGCTGTTCCCTGGATTCCCTTCAGGCCCGTCTTCAGATTCTCCCAGGCTGTTCTTTGAAAATGCAGATGTAATCCAATCACACCCCACCTAACATCTTCCACCACCCTGCTGATCCTGCAGGGTTGACCCCACACTCCCTGCTTTGCTTCACCAGGCCTTCCGCCCAATCCGATGCCATTCCACTTTCCCTGTCCTGGCTCCAGCTGTGCCACACCTTCAGCTCTTCAGAAGAGCTTATCTCTTTTGTCCACTAGGGTCTTGCGTGGGCTGGCGGATCTAGTGGCCTGGCTAGCTTCCATAAGCCTGGAAGTCCAAGTCCAGTGTCACCTGGAGGAGGCCTTTTTTTGATCCTTGGGTTAAATCCCTTTCTCTGTGCTTCTCTAGTGCCTTCCGTGTGTATTTTTCTGACATTCTTTTGCCTGTAGCAGATGGAATATTTGGGTGACTGCCCAAGGGGTTAACGTTCCCCTTGCCTAGACAGAGCCAATTCATCAAGACAGGGGAATTGCAATAGAGAAACAAATTCACTTGAGCTGGCTGTGTGGGAGACTGGAGTTTTATTATTACTCAGATCAGTGTCTCTGAGCATTTGGGGAGCAGAGTTTTTAAGGATAACTTGGGTTGGGGGGGGAAGCCAGTGAGCCAGGAGTGCTGATGGGTCAGAGATGAAATCATAGGGAGTTGGAACTGTCTTGTATTCAGTCAGTTCCTGGGTGGGGGCCACAAGATCAGATGAGCCAGTTGATTGATCTGGGAGGGGCCAGCAGATCCATCAAGTGCAGGGTCTGCAAAATATCATAAACAAAGTTTCTCCCAAAGTTAATTCAGCCTATGCCCAGGAAGGAACAAGGGCAGCGTGGAGATGAGTAGCAAGATGGAGTCCGTTAAGTTAGATCTGTTTCACCATCTCAGTCATGATTTTGCAAAGTCAGTTTCATTTGTACCTCCCTGACCCCACCTCCATCATTGAACACTGCGTTAAGGTGAGAACCATTCCTAATTTCTACCCATACCTAATTCATACATGCAGTAAATACTGACTCCAAGAAAATCCTTACTGTTATGGATAGGATTAGCCCTTGGTTAACTGTCTTGCAGTTCTACAGTTATGAAGACATTCACATGACTTTAGTGGCTTTGGGATGCCAATTGGTTTTTAAGATACACTTGAGCCACTTTGCATCTTCAAAGTTTTGCTGTTTTTTGTTTGTCTGTTTGTTTGTTTTTTGAGACCGAGTCTTGCTCTGTCGCCCAGGCTGGAGTGCAGTGGCAAGATACCAGCTTACTGCAACGTCTGCCTCCTGGGTTCAAACAATTCTCCTGCCTCAGCCTCCTGAGTAGCTGGGATTACAGGCTCACACCACCATGCCTGGCTAATTTTTTGTATTTTTAATAGAGACGAAGTTTCACCATGTTGGCCAGGAAGGTCTCAATCTCTTGACCTCGTGATCCACCCACCTCAGCCTCCCAAAGTGTTGGGATTATAGGCATGAGCTACTGCGCCTGGCCCTTTACTCTTTCTTAAATTACATTTACAGAGTTTTCTTTAACTCACCTTAGGACTAGAAATCCATCCTAATGCGGCTAGAAGTGGTTTAGTGAAATCCTGATTCCTTTTGTCACCTGAAAGGTTGCAGTGTGTTAACCAGTTGTGCTTAGTATTTCCTTTCGAACACTTTCCTCTCTCAAGGAAAATGTTTGAGAAGGTGGCTGGAAGAGAATAAAACTTACCAGCAGGCCCAAGTGTGCCCGTGACAGGAACTCTTCTCTGCCACTTGAGTTGAGCCCCTGGGGCAGCCACTGCCTCCTGTGGCCCACCCCGACCTGCACATCTCCCCAGGTGCGTGAGCATCTGCTCCCTGGCCTTCAGCATGGACGGCATGTTCCTCTCCGCCTCCAGCAACACGGAGACCGTGCACATCTTCAAACTTGAGACTGTGAAAGAAAAGTGAGTTGCAAACATTCCTTCCTTTAAAAAAATGCAGAACCCTTTGTCACCACTTGCTGATGGGATGAGATGGAAGCAAGGATCTGTCCCGCCCTCTGATACTGTTGGCTGGTGAGGACCCCGGAGCCGGCCATAGAACCAGCACCGCCACATCCAGGGTTGGCAGTGAAGAGGGCGGGCCCCATCAGGCTTGGCAGTGAGGAGGACATCCTCTTTTTGCTTTTGTCTGTGATCAGACTGCCCTCAAGGGTGAATGCCGTGTCTCTTCCCTGCCCATGGGTAAGCAGAGACATGGGTGACTTCCATAAGTATTTACTATTGCATATGAATATGTAGAGGGAGGGGGGTCTTTTAAGAGGGTCTTGACTGGGTGTGGTGGCTCATTCCTGTAATCTCAGCACTTTGGGAGGCTGAGCCAGGCGGATCACAAGATCAGGAGATCGAGACCATCCTGGCTAACATGGTGAAACCCCGTCTCTTCTAAAAATACAAAAAAAAATTAGCCGGGCGTGGTGGCATGTGCCTGTAGTCCCAGCTACTTGGGAGGCTGAGGCAGGAGAATTGCTTGAACCCAGGAGGCAGAGGTTGCAGTGAGCTGAGACTGTGCCACTGCACTCCAGCCTGGGCAACAGAGCGAGACTTCATCTCAAAAAAATAAAAAAGAGGGTCTTACTCTGTTACCCAGGCTGCATGCAGTGCAGTGGTGTAGTTATTACTCACTGTGCCTCAACCTCCTGGACTCAAGTGATCCTCCTGCCTTAGCCTCCTGAGTACTTGGGACTACAGGCATGTGCCACCACACCTGGCTAATTTTTAAATTTTTTGTAAAGATGGAATCTTGCTCTGTTGCCCCAGGCTGATATGAAACTCCTGAGCTCAAGTGATCTTCCCATGAGCTACCGTGCCCAGCCTCTCTTTAAAAAGTTTAAAAAGAGCATCCCACTCAGATCAGTATGATGATATCATACTTACGATGGTTAAAAATAGTAAATTTTGTTATATATATTTCATCACAGTTTTAAGAACAAATGGAACGTGCCCTACCCTTCCCCCCAAAAATGATGACTAACCACACAATTAGGCTATGGGAAAATAACACTTTTGGGTCTATACTCAAGGTTTATGGAGACTTCTGTGACAGAGATCTAGCAGGGGTCATCAGGCCCCATCAAAGGGGACATGGGGTCACCTGCCATTTCTTGCCCATGGCCACACAAGGGTCACAGCTCCTCCTGCCCTGGAGCCTGAGTGCTGCCTCCTCCTCCGATGCCTCCTAGAGGAAGCTCCGTGACACTTCTGGGGCTCCGAGTGTCTGTATGTAACCAACCAACCAATCCTTTTGAGTTTTCCTGAGACTTTGGCTGTTGGCTCCAGAGCTGTATGTCTATGTGAGTAGGGGGGTGGCTGTCCCCCCAGGGAGGGTGCAGCTTCATGTGTTTGCTGGCCTTTCCTTCCAGACCCCCAGAGGAGCCCACCACCTGGACTGGGTACTTTGGGAAAGTGCTCATGGCCTCCACCAGCTACCTGCCTTCCCAAGTGACAGAAATGTTCAACCAGGGCCGAGCCTTCGCCACAGTCCGCCTGCCATTCTGTGGCCACAAAAACATCTGCTCGCTAGCCACGTGAGTAGAGCCGGTGCCTCCGTCCCCTGCCCTGAGCACCTGAGGCTGAGGGGCCCAGTCCTGGTGGCTCGTGATCCTTTCCATGTTTCTCCTGAACAAAAGCAGCTTCTTAGAGCTGGGGCTCCATCTAGAGTCGTCGGGGGTGGGAGGCGCCCTGGCAGGTGCTAGGCTCACCACTCTGTGCGGGGTGTATTTTTTCAATATTTTATTTGTTTTTTGTTAGAGAATTCCTGAGTCTCATGCGGGGTTCATTTCTACATGGTCTGTTGTTCTGTTTTTGTTGACAGTCTGCAGTATTAATAAAAGACATTAAGTCAAACCTCGTGGGCGTGCCATAGTTAACCGCATTTTCTGAGTCTCAGGCCTCCATCCAGCTCTAGGGTCAAGCTTCAGAATGCACACAGGGCCTGTAAAGGTGCCTGGGATTGTCTAAGGCCCTGTGCTGTGTGCAGGAAAGACTGTCTTTACCTCCAGCGATAGCAGGGCTTTGGGATTCCGAGCATCTCTAAACATCCTTTTCTAGTTCTGTTATCTGACTAGTGTCGTTGAAAAGTTCTCTGACAATGACTAACCATAATATTCACAGAAGCCACAAAACTGGCTTTGTCCTGCTCTCTCCTCCTATGGGCTTCAGAGCTCGGCACACGGAGTGCAGTCTTGGCGCTATGGGCCGGGTCGATGGTGCACTAAATGCCCAGAGATGTCCTAGTGCTCGTTTTGCTGGGGTCTCCTCCCTCACCTTGCCAAGAGTGAGGCTGCCCGTGTAATAAGCCCCTTCTCGTGAAGGTTGTCTAAAATGTGGCTGCTCTTGATTCTCCCTAGAATTCAGAAGATCCCACGGTTGCTGGTGGGCGCCTCCGATGGGTATCTGTACATGTACAACCTGGACCCCCAGGAGGGCGGCGAGTGCGCCCTGATGAAGCAGCACCGGTGAGTCTGCTCCCGGCCCCACTGCACCGAGCTGCTCCACGGTGGCAGGTGGCCTTTGGGGCGCCTGGCATGTATTTGTTTATTTCCTTGAAAACCCAGTGACATGGACAGATTCCAGCGTGACAGCCCATGCCGCACTGGTCAGGAGCTTTGCTTTCCCAGATGAAATCGATGCGGCGCCAGGGCTCCCTCAGGGACTGGGCACAGAGGCGATGCAGGGGTGGCTGGGGCTGCATTTGTTCTTAGCTAGGGAGAGGCACAGGGAGGTCAGGCCCTCTTCCAAAGGGTGGAGCTTCGCATTTGGGGAGGAAGGCGCAGCGTGGCGGCCCCCACAGTTCAGTGCACATGGTTGAGAGCCTCCTATCTCACTGTGGGGAATGGGTTTGCTCTTGGAAAACGGAGTTAACATTTGTTCATTAGGAAGTAATGCATTTTCATTCTGTCTGACACATTTTTTATGATGAAAAGTTCTAACAGTACTGTAATTATTTATTTTAGAGACGGTCTCACACTCACCCAAACTGGAGTGCCATGGTGCAATCACAGCTCACTGTAGCCATGAGCTCCTGGGTTCAAGGGGTCATCCCATCTCAGCCTCCCTAGTATCTGGGACCACGGGCATGCAACATATCCAGCTAATTATTTTTTTGTAGAGATGGGGTCTTTTTTAACAGCAAATCCTAGTTATTATGTTTCTCCATCGTAAAAGTGAAATATTGCCTCAGTAGGTCTAACTCCCTCCTTAGACTTTCCATGTAAAACTCTTCATGTAAAAATGTGTGCAGATACACAAGAGATTAAAGTTGCTGTGGCGTGGCGGATGCCTGGTGTTCTGTGTGGGGAGTGGTGCATCGGCTCTGTTGCCGGCATGTGCTGCCCGAGAGGCCACCCTGAGTGGAGACGGTGAGCTGTGTCACTTTCTCTCCCCTCCAGGCTGGATGGCAGTCTGGAGACAGCCAATGAGATCTTGGACTCTGCCTCTCACGACTGCCCCTTAGTCACTCAGACGTACGGGGCGGCTGCAGCAAAAGGTACTTATGTGCCTTCATCCCCAACAAGACTTGGTAAGGGGCGTGACGCAAACCTGGAAGGTAATTAATGCCGCAGCCGCCCCGGGGTGCTCCCTCCTGTTGGCTCCGGAGCTGCCCCACTGGCCCCTCACTGGGAAAGGGAGGAATGGTGTGGAGAACACGGGCCAGTGTTCATAAATGGGTGTTCCCAAGACCTCTCAAGGCTGAATTCAGTTTCCTTTTTTTTTTTGAGACAGTCTTGTTTTGTAGCCAGGTGCCAGGCTGGAGTACAGTGGCACGATCTTGTCTCACTACACCCTCCACCTCCCAGATTCAAGCAATTCTCCTGCCTGAGCCTACCAAGTAGCTGGGACTACAGGCGCACGCCACCACGCCTGGCTAATTTTTGTGGGTTTTTTTGTTTGTTTGGTTTTTTTTTTAGAGACAGAGTTTCGCTCTTGTTACCCAGGCTGGAGTGCAATGGCGCGATCTCGGCTCACTGCAACCTCCGCCTCCTGGGTTCAGGCAATTCTCCTGCCTCAGCCTCCCGAGTAGCTGGGATTACAGGCATGCGCCACCATGCCCAGCTAATTTTTTGTATTTTGAGTAGAGATGGGGTTTCACCATATTGACCAGGATGGTCTTGATCTCTTGACCTCGTGATCCACCTGCCTCGGCCTCCCAAAGTGCTGGGATTACAGGCTTGAGCCACCATGCCCGGCCATTTTTGTGTTTTTAATAGAGATGGGGTTTCACGATGTTGGTCAGGATGGTCTCAATCTCTTGACCTCGTGATCCAGCCTCCTCAGTCTCCCAAAGTGCTGGGATTACAGGTGTGAGCCACCGCACCTGGCTTTTTTTTTTTTAAGATGGAATTTCGCTCTTGTTACCCAGGCTGGAGTGCAATGGCGCGATCTTGGCTCACCACAACCTCCACTTCCTGGGTTCGGGCAATTCTCCTGCCTCAGCCTCCTGAGTAGCTGGGATTACAGGCACGTGCCACCATGCCCAGCTGATTTTTTGTATTTTTAGTAGAGACGGGGTTTCACCATATTGACTAGGATGGTCTTGATCTCTTGACCTCGTGATCCACCCGCCTCTGCCTCCCAAAGTGCTGGGATTACAGGCTTGAGCCACTGTACCCAGCCTTTTTTTTTTTTAAGTAGAGATAGGGTCTCCCTATGTTGCCCAGGCTGGTCTCAAACTCCTCCTAGGCTCAAGTGATCCACCACGGCCTCCCAAAATGCTGGGATTACAGGCATGAGCCACTGCACCCGGCCCATTTTTCTCCATTTTTGAAGAAAACGTGGTCATTCTGCCTCAGGTGACTCTGGGAGCACATGACCTGTCCCCAGACTGGCCACCTCTCAGCCATGGGGAAAGCACTGCCCAGGATTTGGCCTCGGTCTTTCCCTCCCACCTTTTTCGTCCTTCAGCAAATCTGCATTGAGTACCGCCTTCGTGCTGGGCCTGTGAGGTGCAGAGGCTGGAGAGGAACGAGGCCAGTGGGCTCCCCTCTGGCGGCAGCACTGAGACCCATGCACAAGATCCTCCAGCCACAGCCTCCGCTCCATGCAAGCCACCCTCTTAAAAAAGCCAACTCGACGTCCAGTGGGAGAGCCTATGGTTTGCACCCACATGGGGCTGTGCCTGCTCACATCACCCCCATGCATGAGCCATTTCATGAAGCCAAGAGGCTCTTAGCGTCATTACTTGTTTCTTAGTGTTATTTTTGAGCTCAGTGTACCCAGCTTGAGAGAGTTTGTGTCCCGTCCATTAGGAATCCTCTGTTGACTGTGCAGGTGTCATTTTGACATTTAAGAATGTCAGAGAACAAATGACTTCATCTCAAGATGCATAAGGCTGCAAAGATTTCATTAGAAAAGCAATCAGAATTCAAAATGTCTTCACACAGGCTGCAGTTTATAAACATACACCAGCGTTTCCAAAACACAGTCCTCAGTTTGTGTCATGGGATCCGTTGTGTCCCCAGCCTTTGAAGGTTGACTTCATCATCTCTTTGCAGCCTATGCAGATGACCTGGGTGCCGTGGGTGGCACCTGCCTGGAGGAGGAGGCCAGCGCCCTGCGCCTGGATGAGGACAGCGAGCAGCCCCCCATGATTCTTCGGACTGACTGAACTTGACCTATGACCTATGACCCGGGGAGCAGAGAACACTGGCTTCACAGAGGACTTTGTGCATTGCTGCTATTAACTTTGACCTGAGTCGGGGGAGAGGATGGCAGAGACTTTATTAAAAAAAAAAAAAAAGATTGTAGTGGTAGTCTAACTCCATAATGCTGAGGAAATACATCCTTTTCACTTCAGTGGCTTTTAATCCTGCTTATGAATTTTAGCTTTTTGTTTGTTTTCTCTTTTTGCCAAAATTAACTGTCTGGTGAAGCCCGCAAAACCTCCTTGCTTTGCATGCATGAATGTGCCAAGCCAGCGTAGGAGAGCTAGAAGCCACTTTCCAACACCTGCCGTTGGGGTTTTCATATCTGTACGCATGCCGAGTGCGTCAGGAAGCCGTGGCCGCGCACGCTGGGTCTGCTCGTCAAGGCTGGTTCTGCAGTGACGGGTCCAGGGCTGCCCACTGGGCGTGCTGGGCGGACTTCGGCCTGGGACACGAGTCCTCTCTCCCTAGGGCCCCATCTGGACCATTTTCCCTCCATTTTATTTTGTTAATTAAATTCTTTCCAGATTGGATCATCCTGGGATTTTTTCTGTGGTGGACTTCTGTTTCTGATCTTGTTTCTTCCCATGTGGATATCGGAGGAGAGCAAGGTTCTTTCTGATACTGAAAACCTTTGTGTCGGGCGGCAGATGAACTTGAAAGATTGCCTGGACTCCCTGGAGCAAAGGAAAGCGATTTTGTTTGTGTAATTAAATAATGCGTTCTTCTACTTTACCCTTCCTGTTGAAAAACTGTGTGATTTTTTTTTTTTTTTTTAAGGAAAGTTTGTAGCTACTCCTGTGCCCAGGAGAGCATAGAATTAGAGTGTGATGGGCGTCCGAGCTGCCCTCTCGCTGGGCCCCGCGTCTGCAGGGGCTGCCTACCTATGTGCGAGGTTGTAGTGGGAGGCAGCCACAGAGAGAGAAAGCGGCTGGGCCCCGTCCTTCCCAGGGCGGCACGTGCCTTTTCTGTTTTAATCTTAGAAAGTTTCCTCAGCATACTGATGAGGGATTGTGGTTACAAGTTTCAGTATTCACCTCGCTTCCCTTTTCATTTTTACGGAATTAAAGCAACCTCAAATACCTCAGACTCTGCATTCCAAACCAAGACATCTAGCAGCGAAGGTGTTGAGGGCATTTAAGTGGAATTAATGGCATGAGAGGTGGCTTTAGAATCTTTGGAGTGGTGTAAGTTAGGGAAAGAAGGGAAAAAGCAAAAACTGGCTTTGCCCTGCCTTTGCAGGCTCGGGTTTTTGAACGAGGAAGCTGAGATGCCTGTTTCCAGACGGTTGCATCGTGGTCACACTGGGCGAAGAGCTTAAGGGGAGTTGTCGCCTCAGCTGGGCGGCTGCAGTGAAATGTCCTGGTATTCTTGAGTTGACTTTATGGCAAACTTCTAGATGTAGGAGATGCTTCGGCCGTTCCTGACTACACAGGTTTCTTCACAGCCGCTGGTGTGAGGGGCACACGGCGTTTGCATTAGGCAGAGGTGCAAGTGGGAAATTGAACTTGTCTTCAAAACCTGCATATCTGTCCTGGATCTTTGACGAAATGGGATCTCAGTCACATAGGCCGAGACAATGGGGAGCACCGAGGCCAGAGCAGGCTGTGCTTGAGAAGGGCTGCAGCAGCACGCAGCCTTGATCCATGCCCACGTCGGGGAGCACGGCCTGAGGGCGCTATCTAGAACCTGACCTTGGACTCCATCTCCTGGGAGGCATGTTTGGCTAAAGTGAGTGTGGAGAAAAAATATTGTCCAAATTGTGCAGGAGAGATCTGGAAGCCTAAGCCAGACTTCCTGCTAACCAAAGTGTGAGCTGCATTTCAGGGTCTGTGTTAAAGGATCGTTAGTTCTGGTGCCTGCCTGTCGTGGTGGTGATATGGGAACTCAAATCTCCTTTGCCGGGTCTCGTCTTTCTTTGGGATTGGTAGTTCTAGAAGATGCTGGGGGTTCTTTTCCTCACTCAGCCTTGTTGTTTTCCCACACTGTAAGATGAGACCGTTTGCAGAGGAGGCCTCGAATGTCCTGTGACCCTCGGCCCTTGGGTGGCCCTGGCAAGTCTGCCTGGGCGTTTTCCCTGCAGACCACAGGAAGCTCTGTGCTTGCCTGGGTCGAGGCTAAGCTGTGTACCCTAGAGAAGGGAGAAGGACTGCAGATTCTTGGTCAAGAAGAAGGAAGAGGATTTCTGTATTTGCTCACCAGCCATTGTGGAGGGTAACCGGCCTCCACTTTTCCGTTGCCCATTGCATTGCCATCAGCTCCTCTTTGCTTGATTCGGTGGGTCCCAGCCTCACTGGTGGCCTCAGACATGCTTGGGAGTGACGGACAGAGAGGCCGCTGAATTGCCTATGGAAACTCACTGCTGCACCAGAGATCCAGATGGAGAGGGACCCTGAACCAAACAGAACGTGTACTAGTTTGCCAAACTCCACAAACTGTACACTCATTAAATTATATCATATTTTCCCAAACTCCATAAAAGATGATGAAGGTGGGGGATAGGAAACAAACTTGTAAGCGTCGTGAATGGGCTCTGGACTGGACCGAACCTTCTGTAATCTCTCAGATAATGGGACCAAGAGCTGCATTCAGAACCCGGCTGTACCACCTGCCTACCTGTGGGAGTGGCAGGGCGTCCACGTTTTCTGGACCATTCTGTGGGACCATCCCTACCTCACAGGGCTGTTGTGAGGTGTCGTGTGAATGTGTGTCCTGCAAACGCCCAGCTCAGTGCCCAGCTGGTGGTGGGCACCCAATAAACACTACATCATAAACGTGTCTTCTGCTGTTAAACATGAGGTTTATTCAGTTCTGGTTTTTGAATAGGGAGCTAGGTGGGAGGGAGGTGACAGTACAGGTAAGAAGTATAATTCAGAGGCTGGGGTGGTGGCTCACACCTGTAATCCCAGCACTTTGGGAGGCTGAGGCAGGTGGATTATTTGAAGTCAGGAGTTCAAGACCGGCTCAGCCAATGTGGTGAAACCCTGTCTCTACCAAAAAAAAAGAAAAGGTAGCTGGGCATGGCAGTACACGTCTGGAATCCCAGCTACTCTGGAGGCTGAAGCAGGAGAATCGCATGAACCTGGGAGGCAGAGGCTGCAGTGAGCCAAGATCACACCACTGCACTCCAGCCTGGGCTACAGAGTGAGTCTCCATCTCAAGAAAAAGAACTATTTCACATGGGGGTCACGTGGGTCTCTTTCGTCCCACCTTTTCACGCCAAGCCTAATGGGCAGGTGGTACAAACTGGTCTGGGAGGTGGTGGGCACCCTGGAGCAGCAGGCCCTGTCCCTGTCGGGGACCCAGGAGCTCCTTGGCTGCCGCACCCTGCCATGGAGAGAATTTGGTGACTTCCCACTCACAGTTTCATTTGGAGAGGAGGGAAAGAGTCTCCGCCTCCATGACTAGCAGGCCACATGTGGAAAAGACGGAGTGCTTTAGCCAAGGAAACAGGACAAGGGGTAGTAGAAAACGCTCCTGACTTATCCCTGTTACTCCTGTGTTTTGTTTTTTAGAGAGTCTCGCTTCATCACCCAGGCTGGAGTGCAATGGTGCGTTCTCAGCTCACTGCAGCCTCCACTCCTGGGTTCAAGCTGTCCTCCTACCTCAGCCTCCAGAGTAACTGGGATCACAGGCACCCACCACCACACCGGGCTAATTTTTGTACTTTACTAGAGGCCGGGTTTCACCATGTTGGCCAGGCTGGTCTCAAACTCCTGACCTCAGGTGATCTGCCTGCCTCGGCCTCCCGAAGTGCTGGGATTACAGCTATGAGCCACTGTGCCCGGCTGCTTGTGTTTTTCATAACCACATTGGCAAAGGGTGGGGATAGGGCAGGCTTGTTTGATTTGTTGTTTTGTGTGTCCCCTGCCCTACATCTTTGTAGACCAGACTTTTGCATGCAGGGAATGACTGAGCCACTTGTTTGAAATATATGGGTGATGGCTCACACCTGTAATGCCAACACTTTGGGAGGTGGAAGCAGGCGGATCACCTGAGGTCAGGAGTTCGAGACCAGCGTAGCCAACACGGTAAAACCTGTTTCTACTAAAAATACAAAATTTAGCTGGGTGTGGTGGTGGATGCCTGTAATACCAGCTACTAGGGAGGCTGAGGCAGGAGAATCGCTTAAACCAGGGAGGCAGAGGTTGCAGTGAGCTGAGATCACACCACTGCCCTGTAGCCTGGATAAGACTCCATCTCAAAAAAAAAAAGAAAAGAAAAATGTACATGTGACACCTTGGCCAGCAGAGCAGGAAATCCAAATGCATTATTTTACAAGTATACTTAGAAACAAGTGGAAACGTCTGGCTTTAGCTCTGTGGTATCAGAGGTGTAAGAAGAAACTGCAGGGAAGCCACAGATCTTCTGTTCGGGACTCTCCCCTGCCTTACATAGAATTCTTTTTTATGACTGACTGATTTCTCACTGAAGATACAATAACCATTGGCCAAGCAGATAGGGTTTTCCTGATGTATCTTTTAATTCTGACCCAGGTCATAACCCTTCACCTATGTCATATCTCTTCATTCTATGGGTTTTTCTGAAGCACAAAAGCAAAAGCAACCTCAGGGTTTTGAGATGTGACCTGTTCTTACCCTTCCTTCCCTGATACCTGGCTAGGAAAGTCTCTAACTTAGAAAAAGGAAATCTTCCTAAAGTTCAGAATGTAAAGAGACTGTCTCACCCCTACATTGTTTCCCTCTATAGCGAGTTATAATTTAAATAGATTCCTCTTAACATTCCATTTTAGGTGAAGCTTGTCGGTGCTGCCAGAGTGTTTGTTGTCTGTGTGTGTTTGTGAGTGTGTGTGGGCACGTGCACGAGCTTCAGGTAAACATACTGACTACATTCCCCCACCAAATCCCACTGAAAGCCCATCACTATCAGCATTTTAAACACATTAAGGAATTGAACGTCATGACTCATGCCTGTAATCCCAGCTCCTTGGGAGGCTGAGGCAGGAGGATCACTTGAGACCAGGAATTTGAGGCCAGCCTGGGCTACAGAGCAAGACCCCCTCTCTTAAAATTAACACCTGTATTCTGGGTTTTCTTGTTCACTGCCTACTCACAGGCAACATCTCATTTGTTTTTGTTGTTTTGTTTTGTTTTGCTTTTGAGAGGGAATCTCGCTCTGTTGCCCGGACTGGAATGCAGCACAATCTCGGCTCACTGCAATCTCCACCTCCTGGGTTCAAGCAATTCTCCTGCCTCAGCTTCCCAAGTAGCTGAGATTACAGGCACCTGCCACCACACCTGGCTAATTTTTTTGTATTTTTAGTAGAGACGGGGTTTTGCCATGTTGGCCAGGATGGTCTCAAACTCCTAACCTCAGGTGATCCGCTCACCTCGGCCTCCTAAAATGCTGGGATTAAGGCATGAGCCACCGCGCCCAGCCTTAAACATCTAATTTATACCAGATTGCCCTATAATTCTACCTAGAATGTTATAGCAAAATGCCAGAAGCCTGACTAAAATTTTTTAAAGAAACCTGGCCAGGCACGAATGCTCACACCTGTAATCCAGCACTTTGGGAGGCTGAGGTGGGCAGATCTTGAGGTCAGGAGTTTGAGACCAACCTGACCAACACGGTGAAAGCCCGTCTCTACTAAAATACAAAAATTAGCCATGCGTGGTGGCGCGTGCCTGTAATCCCAGCTACATGGGAGGCTGAGGCAGGAGAATCACTTGAACCCGGGAGGTGGAGGTTGCAGTGAGCCGAGATCGAGCCAC